TGTGTGTGTGTGTGTGTGTGTGTGTGTGTGTGTGTATGTGTGTGTATCTATATATATATATATATTGCTTCTAATCTAGATCACATCAACTGCAAATATTAACCCTCATATCACCATGGTAACGGATGTGTGCAAACGAGCAGAAGTGAAGGCACGTGGACTAAGGACAAGCCGTTCTTCACCGCGCTGCTGGTTCTGAAGCTGGAGGGCTGTCCACACCGCCGCATCGATTTGGTATGGACTGCTACGGATGTGATGGTCGTACTATTGTTTCTTGATCATCCGCTATTTTGATGTATTCAAGTAACTGAACCCGCTATCGCCATGTGTTTGTACCGTTATGTGGATAAAGGGATATATCATTGTTTGTTTTTTTAGAAGGCTATGATGGATATAGCCCCGTTGTGACATGTTGTTTTAGAAGGCTATGGTTGTTAGGAATAAAGTATTCGTTATTCATGTCTGAGAGTCTGAATACTGATGTGGTGTTTTCACTTTTCCTCGCTCTTGCATCTTAAATCTTGATCGGCCCGCTATGGTAGTAATGGTGTGATTTTTGGTTGGATTGTGTTTCCTTAGTTCCAGTGATCTGATCATCCCGCTTTTGTGATGAGCTCTCTCGCTCGCTCCGATGTGTTTGTTATATTTTTTTTAAATATATATAAATAACAGAGTGTTTGAAATCACGTGGATTGTCTTTTATTGCATTGTGGCTTTGTGAGGTGGCAATTGACATATTGGTGTGGTGGTGGTGATGGTCAGTGGTCAGACTCAGTCTGGTGACTCGAGTCCTCCTCCGTGGCCGTGTTGCGGCCTGCGTGGAGTGACTGTTTCGCATCTTGGAGTTATCGAATCGCTTTTCTGCCCTCCTGTCCTGTCTATTAGAATGTAAGTCCCTCAATTTTTCATCGTATCCGGTATTGCTTAATATCTGACGCCACCCGTCTTTCTCCGAGAGAGAGAGGGAGATTGTAGTCACTCCATTTTATTATTATTTTCCTGTTTACATCGTATCGCTTTTGCCTGTCGTCCAATGTCCATTCGGCATACTCTTGTGTGTGTTGTGATTGTAGCCTCTGTATCTGTTGTGCTCTGCCCTCTGCTCGCTTGTGTTGTGAAATGTGTGTAGCCTGAATACTGAAGAAGTCCCACTCAGTCTCAACTCTCAACTCTCACCACTTCCCCCTCCCTCCCTCCTCCCTCCCCCCCCCTCACTACCCACGTGTATTTACAATTCGTACATCGTAACTCTCTCGTAACTCGTAAGGCGAGTATGACTGTTCGAGTTTGCTTACATATCGCTATTTAAAAGAGGCTCTAAATAGCTATTCGCTTGATCGCTTCGGAAGTTCGGCTTTTGCCACTCAGATTTCAGAATCTCGTCCAACGTCCAAGACACCAATATGTCCAACTCCACATAAATATCTCTCATCGAGAACTCCCCTGTATGAAATTTTAAAAAGGTTACTCTAAGAATGTTTGATATTATGAGTATTGTGTACAAGACAAAAAGTCTTTCGTTTTTATACTCATATAAAAATAAGAACGTAATATATACTTTTTTATTTTTTTAAAATACTGTTTGATTTTGTTCTAAAAAACATCTTGGTCTTTAAAATGTCAGGTATTGTCCCGTGCGGAATGTTGGGCACATGTGCTCTTGAATTGGAGCGGTTCGACCCTTTTCCTGCGCAGTCTCAGCGAGTACGCAAAAAAGCACAGCAGTAAGTATACCTGTCGTGAGTAAACACGCACATTATAAAATTGTTCGCTGAAACAAGTACTACTGTTAGGGGACTGTGGCTGTGGGCCAGGGCGGTGCCCAGTGCATAAATATTGGATATTGCCCAGTGCATAAATATTGGATATCCCCCCGATGTAGGAAATAGGAATATTCCCATTTCCCTCTCTCTTGTTGTGTTACTTGTGTTGGGCAAAGTGTTGTAAGTTTGTATCCATGTCCGCGTCAGACAGGTCCATCGTCCTGACGTGGAGCTTTTATTCGACAGCATAAACGATAAAAATGCCTTGCAGCCCTCTCGAGATAGAGAACGAGAGTAGAGAGCACTACATGAATCGGGAATAGCTATGTATTTATTTTGATGCCTATTCCCTACTCTCCTTCTTGTAGTAGAGAGGAAATGCCTTGTGTATGACACTGTACTGCGGAATAACTGCTTAAAAGTTTGTAAATACTAAAAATACATGCCCAGTGCCTTTTTTTATGTCCTGACGTGGGATCAACTTGGCTTATCCCAAATAGCACGCTAGTAAATTCTTTTACATATTCGATATAAACACAATAAGTGCATAGCTGTAAAAATCAGGAATTGAATACAGATTCTAGTGTATATTTATGTATTTTTTCAATCCGGGGGAATCTTGTGCTTGGACTTTGATGTTTGAGTGTTTAAAAAAAAATGTACAAGCATGCTCATTCTCCCCTGTCGTGACTCGTTGGCTCGTGTGTTAGTGACGCTAAGCAGTCAAGCACGCGGTAAACATTTCTATTCGATGGCATAAAACTTGTGCCTTGTTGTATAAATCTGAATTTGATTTCGCGAGTGCGATCGATTCGGATGCCGATTCCATTTTTTTATGTCATGTTAGAATAGTTACCGTCTTAGCTTGTATACGTCAATAAACAAAGTATGCAATTGACATCTCTTATAGACGACAACAGACATATCTTCAGCAAGTGAATTTGAAATATACTAGCCAGTATTCTGTTCCATAAACAAGACCATTGCGCATGGGCTATAGCTCTCACGCTGACATCTACTATTTCCCCCTCATCCCACTTTCAGCGCCTGCGTACATCAATGGGAAGTTGGGACTCGAGGTAGTTGGCAAGAGGGATAGGGACGGTAAACCTGTGTTGCTCATCTGCAAATCCGAAGAGGATATTTTTGAGAATCTTGGCCTGGAGTACATACCCCCGGAGGAGCGTAATAGCTGAAGCTGGATACGCGTGCAGGAAACGCTCTCTATCTCAATAAAGGTTGCGCCTTTTCAACCCCCGAATATCATACGCTTCTTATATTTAATCATAGCAGTTGCCTTTCGATGAATGATGCAGAAGGCCCCCCTTTCGGACAATATTTCAAGTATGGTAACGGGAAGGATACGCAAGATATTTGCTGCTCTTATAGATTCTTAGCGATACGTTGTGTATGCCTAGCAATAGCATATTCACTATACTGCGCCTTCACCACACCAGGATCCAACTGAATATTCAATAGACATATAATATACAAAACCACATAATCAAACCCACTCGGATACTTTGGTTTGTTCGTGTTGAATTTCCATCATGATCCGAGAATTGATACGCTGCTTTCAAGACAGAAAATATGCTTTTGGGAAATCTGACCTGGCTTTAAAACGCTTTAAAACACCTATAGCAACAAGCTTCGATAACGTGATATTCTCAAGCAGGCGGAGTCATTATATCCGTATACATGAAGTGTATGTAGTATTCACACTGAACCGAAATATATACTGCGACTTATACTGAACTGTTGAATCAGTTTCGAAAATAAGCAACATAAACCACACGCCTTTCTTTGATTTAAATATTATAAGATAGCAAACTTGGGGAAAGAACAGCGTTGGCTTTGTGTCAAAGATGGGAGTGGTGGCAGCATGGCAGCCGACAGTCTGCAAATAAATATGTATCTGACGACTTATATAGTAGATACGTAGTGTTGACGTACAAAATATGTAGCTGCGAACTGGAATACTCTAGAACATCAGTCATGTGTATAATACCCATTGAACTATTGCTTCCTAAAAACACCGTAACAAATAGTATCATGCAAAAGCTAAGAAACTGTATTCAATACCTCCATGTTTTTATCAGATTTATTATGAGAACGAATCTGTGAGTAAAACCACATCCACTGCTACAAGCATACTATCACCTATATTATCCATCATAAACTTAAATTATCTATTATAAATTTAAGTCCTACCATAGGTTTGCCTGAACTTTCGTCCACAAACTGTGCTTCAATGTGCAACGTGACATAATCTCCAGTCGTTGAACGTAGCCTTACCATTGCTGTC